GGGGGGGGGGGGGGGGGGCGGGAGGGGATGCACGCCCGCGGTCACAGGGGGACTGCCAGCCGGCGCTGATCGCGGGCCGACGCATGCCGGCGGCAGCGATCAGCCCCTGGCTCATTGGCTTTAGGGGACGGACAAGGCTGCGCCTGTGTGGGTAGCCCTGCGGGTCCTGCCACCCCCGCCCCTACCCCCCACCCGTCATGCGGACCCCTGCCCCGACGCACTTTCCGAGCAGCTTCGCCGACAGCCGCTCCTCCTGCCCCCCCGCCCTGGGGCGCCCGCTGGCGCCGCCGGCGCCGCCGCCCGCTGGGGCGGCGCCGCCCCGCGGCTTCTGCGAGGCGCTGCGCTCTACGATCTGCTTAATCACGTCTATGGCCGCCGTGGGCGGCCGTTTCTCGACTGCCGTGGCGAGGCTGACTGAAGTGACGTTGACGGAGCTCCGCACGCGCAGCAGCTCGACCCGCGGCGGCGGCGGCGACGGCGCGCGGGCCGCCTCTGGAGCGGCGGGGGCCTCGGGGCTGGCCATCGCCGTGCCGTGTGGTTAGTGTGTTCAGCGGGAACGCAGCGACGTCGGGCGCGGCGCAATGTGCGGTGCCTGCGCCTGAACTCCTGCTACGCTGCGACGCCAAAGTGTTGCCCTCGACTTGTTTCCTGTTTTAGTCGGTGCTCCCACGTCCTATCCAAGCCCATTTTCCGCAGTTGACGAGCTTCGACACTAGCAGGCGGCATGCGTGGCTAACAGCATGTATATGTGATACTTAAAACAACGGTGTATCTTTATGATGCGCAGTTACGCCCTTTCATGCCCTGCACACACCAAGCAGGCAGCAAGGCGTCAGTACACAGGGCGTGTATACATATCCCTCCCTGCCATACAAACGATCAACCCCCATTAGATGTACATGAATCGAAACAACACAACACCACTGCTTGCCACAAAGCGCGTTCACCGACCACGCTACTCACCAGCAGCGGGATCTGCGGGTCGTTTCAGGCGAGGGTGAAGTCAAGGTAAGCGCCTTCTTACATTTGGAGGGATGCAGTGGGCTAAGCAGCATGGTGCAGCGGATGCGCGACGCCAGTGCGCCGCTGCTCGTGCTGGTGCTTACAGTGCTGGTGCTGCTGCTGCTGTTGGACTTGCTGCTGCGGCTGCCGCTGCTGCTTGCTTGTTCTGTGCACCGTACCCAGTGCGCAGGGCTTGGGTAGCTGTGAAACACGCGCGGCTCGCACGCAGCACGCACAGACACCGCCCCAGCTGCGTCCATGCCGCGACAGCGCCGGCCGCTCGCCTTGCGCCCTTGCGTCAAGTGCTGCGGGCTCCGGCGCCCTTCGTGCAGGAGACCACACGCAGCACCATCAGCCTCCCAAGCAGCCCATCTGCACACACCCGCAGCAGCGGCGGCGCAGGAGCGCCCGCGCACGCTCGCAGCGGCAGCGGCGGCAGCGGCCCGCCGGGATGGGGCGGCGCCACAGCAAGAATGCGGGGGGCATGGGCAGCGAGGCCTTGACGTATGAGGAACGCAAGGCCCTGGGATTCGGCACTGTGAAGGAGCGCCTCGGCAAGGTGTGCCCTTGGCCCGGGGCCCCGCCCTGGCTGCGCGCGGCGTGCCGCCCGCCCAAACGTGGCCGCGCTGGCGGCAGCTCTGGAAGCTCCCCGCCCGCCTGACGCCGCCGCAGCCGGGGCGGAGGGCCCGCAGGGCGGGCCGCACGCGACGCGGCAGAGCCTGCTGGGTGCGGCGGCCGCGCCTCGAACGCGCGAGGCGGCTCGACGAGGGGCCTGCCTGCATCCCCATCTCCAGCGCGCCCCCTGAGCCCGTACCCTGCGTCCTCTCCTCTCAACAGGACTCCCACGGCAACTACAATGACTGCTGCCTCACACTCCAGCCCGCAGTGGTGAGCCCGCGCCCGCGTCCGCCCCGTCTCTGCGCCCGCCATCCCGCCCCCGTGCGCCCCGCCTCTGCGCCTCGCCGCCAGCCCCCGCCCGTGCTCGCCCCGCCCTCGCGCCGGGCGCCCGCCCTCATCCGCAGCTTCGCGGCAGCTTGACACGGCCCCTCCCCTCTTCCCCTCCCTTTCCTCCTGCTCCCTTCCCCCTGCGCCTTGCTGCCCTTACCACCTGCCTTCGACCAATCAAATCACCTCATCTGTATGGACCTTGTCTTGACTAATCTGATCTGATCTCACCTGATCTGGCCAGAACCCCGTGGTGACCCCCGACGGCTACCTGTACAGCCGCGAGGCGATCCTTGAGAACCTGCTGCAGCAGAAGAAGGGCATCAAGCGCAAGCTGGCGGAGTGGGAGGCGGCGCAGAAGGCGGAGGACGACAAGGTGGGGGCTGTGCCCCCTGGCTGTTATCAGCTGAGCGCACGCAGGGCGCGCGCGCACGCACGAGCACGCGAGGGAGAGAGAGGGAGGGAAAGAGTGGGGGATTACAGGGACTGTGTCGCCAGCCTGCAGCTTGCCTCAAGTGCAGGACCGTAAGCTGTTGAGACTGCTTCACAATCTGGTTGCACTGGCGGTGATGACGATTTGTTTTTGTTGGGGCGGATCACAAACGCGGGTGCGTTCCGGAGTGGCTGGAGACCCTGTTACCGGGCTGGCGCCCCGACTCAGAAACGCGCCCGGCCACGTGCGCGCAGGCGACGCAAAAGGCCGCGGTGGAGGCGGAGGCGGCCCTGATCGCGTTTGACCGCGCCAACCACATGGGCCTGCGCGACGAGACGGCGCGCGGCATCCAGACTGCAATCACCGCGGAGGCTGAGGCGCTGCTGGAAGGCAAAGGGGCGGGCGCCAAGGGTGTGGTGTCGCTGCGGGACAACGAGGAGCGGCTCAAGACGCTCAACGTGAGGCGGCCTTGCGCGTGTGCATGCGCGTGTGTGAGTGCATGTGTGCGTACGCGTGTAGGTGTTTGCATGTGTGTGTGCGCGTGCATCAATGTGCGTGTCTGATTTACATGTGTGTGCGTGTGTGTACACGTGTGCACGTGTGCACGTGTGCGTGCACGCACACACACGTGCTCGTGGTGGTGTCGAGCAGTGGCGTCAAGGGCTGTGGTCTCACGCAATCTGCTGCTGCAGAAATCCCGGGGAGACCCCGCGGCCCCCAGAAACACCCAAGCGCTCTGCCCCACCTGCGTCCTAACGCGTCCGTCCTACCCCCCCCCCCCCCCCCCCCCCCCCC